TGTATACAACAAACATACATTGTTTGTACCTAAACAACTATAATATAGATGAGAGCATGTCATTATTTTGTTCCTGTTAACATTGTCACTGATATTTTTCAAGAAAGTCTATGAGGCAAAGCTTATGCATTCCTGTCATTACTACATTAGCATAATTACTGCTAAAATAATTCTCAGTATGATATACCTCTTGTAAGAAATCATTATAATTGTAGCAAGCACCAAAAAATCTCAAACAGATCACATTGAATCGTAATCCAAAAAATTATGACGTCTTGAATTAACCACCCCCTTTTATTCTAAAACGATAATTGCGGTTGTAAACAAACTTTGGTTTATTCGCATGGCGATTACATATATAACTATATATTTTAAAAAGAAAATAGAGTTTTACCATGAATAGTTTCCTGCACGTAGTCTTTTTCAGTAAAATGTGCCTTGCAAACAACAGCTGATTGAGATGGACTCCACGATTTCATCGTATTCTCGTCCAATCTGCGTATGGGCCATTGCGTTGATCCAACTTTTCCTTCTTTTTAAGTCATTTGGAAATGCATGTCCTCCTCTTAAATGACATCCAGGTACACAACAACATGTACTTGGCATCGTTAATTAATAATGCAACTGTAATAGTTGCACAGTGCAGAAACCGGAAGTTGAAGAACAGGATCGGCTACCACGGCGCCACCTATTCAGGAACGATAATTTGCTACTTTATATAACCGCGAAATAACAATTACGTTAGACGGGTTCGCGTGCATAAACAGAAATGCGCTTTAAATTGTATAATATAATTCATGTTCAGTCGACCTTTAATTATTATATCAACGACTGAAATGATTTATAAACATCTAGATTGCAGATAACACTCGAAATTAACCCGACCTCTTTCCACACGGAATTCAAATAATTCTAGTTTGTCAATCGGTTGACTGCTTATAATGTAAAATACAAATATATCAAAAGTTTTTAAAACTAACAAAACACAATGATCGTTTCTCTATTTCCCAATGTAAATGAAATGAAACAAAAAACATTTTATATCACAATAAGAAGAGGAGAGAATCAACATTTTCCGGATCTACTTGGAGCCTAATGACCCCCCACGTAGATAAGTTGGATATCGCGGAAAGAAAGATTAACACGGCAACTAGAAAGGCATTAAAGCACTGCCTTTAAAAAATCAAATTGGCCATTGGTAATATCCATATGCAGTTTCCTTTGCATATAACCCATATGTTACTACTTGTCCAATTTGAGCTTAAAATCAGTAAAATAGTGTTTGGAATAAAGCTTTGTTTGTATTTTATTGCTTGAAATAGATCATAAAATGAAATAAAGTAATGCTGAAGTCAATATAGCAAGTTTGGTTCTGTTATAGGTGTAACACCACTAATTCGGGCCCGGCCAGAAAGCACATACCAGAAGGTAGTACATATTTAACACAAAATAGTTCCTACGCATGGGTGTAACTTTCAAAATATGTAGAATATTTATGTAATTTTGGTATCAAATGAAAGCTGAATGACTGGTGATCATTGTAGAACACTTTTTGACTTATAATTTTGAATAATAAAAAAATTGCATGAAATTTAAAAAAGAGAGTAATTTTGCCTGTTTGTCAGATCTGGAGTACCTGTTTTGGTAAATCGGAAGTTCCGGGAACCAGTTCTTTCTTATATGCCACTAAAGGTATGTTGATTTTTTCAGTACAAAGCACCATGAAGTGTTGCTTTGACATGCAATGATTGTCACTTTATTTGAACTTAAAACAAAAGAGCTGTGCCTGCTTGAAATTGAGGAATTTAACATAGAAAGCAATGGGGCCATGAATTAGTGGTGTACTTCCTTAATATTGGCTCCGTAATTTATTAAAAAATCCTGGTGGCCATCTTGAACAGTAAATCGGCAACAAAGTAGCAACACTTCATGCACCTCATAAGGAACATTTATGCCATGTTTGGTTTCATTCCATTCAGTGCTCCTCTAGAAGAATCATTTCTATGTATTTCCCATAGGGTCGTATGTTAAACTAAGTCCCCTGCTGGCGGTTATCTTGGATGATGGTTCGGCTACAAAGTAACAACATTTGGTCAGCACCTCATTAGGAACATTCATGCCATGTTTGGTTTCATTCTATTCAGTGGTTCTGTAGAAGAAAACATTTGTATGTATTTCCCATAGGGTCCTAATATTGTTAAACTTACTCCTCCTGCTGGCAGCCATCTTGGATGACAAATCAGCTACAAAGTAACAACACGTGTACAGCACCTCTAAAGAAACATTCATAAAATGTTTGGTTTCAATCCATTCAGTGGTTTTCTAGAAGACATTTGTATATATTTCCCATAGGGTCCTTTGTTAAACTAAGTCCCCCGTTAGCAGCCATCTTGGTTGATGGATTTGTTACAAAGTAACAACATTTGGTCAGCACCTCATAAGGAACATTCATGCCATGTTATATTTCATTCCATTCAGTGGTTCTTCAAAAGAAGACTTTTGCATGTATTTCACAAAGGGTCCTTTGTTAAACTAAGTTCCCCGCTGGCAGCCACCTTGGATGATTGATTGGTTACAAAGTAACAACACTTGGTCAGCACCTCATTAGAACATTCATGCCATGTTTAGTTTCATTCCATTCAGTGGTTCTCTAAAAGAAGACATGTGTATGTATTGTCCATAGGGTCCTTTGTTCAACTAAGTTCCCCGCTGGCAGCCATCTTGGATGATTTATTGGCTACAAAGTAACAACACTTGGTCAGCACCTCTAAAGAAACATTCATACCATGTTTGGTTTCATTCCATTCAGTGGTTCTCTAAAAGAAGACATTTGTATGTATTGTCAATAGGGTCCTATGTTAAACAAAGACCCCCGCTGGAAGCCATCTTGGATGATGGATCGCCTATAAAGTTACAACACTTGGTCAGCACCTCATAAGGAACATTCATACCATGTTTTATTTCTTTCCATTCAGTGGTTCTCTAAAAGAAGACATTTGTATGTATTTCCCATAGGGTCCTAAGTTAAACTAAGTCCCTCTCTGGCGGCCATCTTGGATGATGGATCCGCTTCAAAGTAACAACACTTGGTCAGCACCTCATAACGAACATTCATGCCATGTTTGGTTTCATTCCATTCAGTGGTTCTCTAAAAGAAGACATTTGTATGTATTGTCTTCGTGCCAGGGGAGCTAAAAATGAATAAATCTTACTTTGCTGAACATCTTTAACAGTTACAATTTCTCTCTATTACAGTTGTTGCTAAAAATGCTTAAATGGGTAAAAACAATCTTTCTATGGCAATAACTCGTATATGGGGTCAATTGAAGATTTTGATTTAATTGTAGGTCCTACATGTATTTTGCTGAAAGTCTTTGCTATTTACAGTTTTTCGCCATCTATTATGGTTTCTGCAAAAATCTCTTTCAAGGGCAATTACTCCTATTAGAGGTCAATTATCAATTTTGGCCATGTTGATTTACTTGTAGATATTTTTTTTTCTGGAATATTTTAACAATTTACAGTTTCTCACTATCTATTATGGTTTCTGCAAAAATTAGTAAAAATCAAGACAAGAAACTCCTCCTTAAGAGCTGGACAGACCTTTTGTGAGTTCACTTACAGCTTTAGATCTTTTGGTTTTCTGTTTCATTGCGTTACGGTCTCTTGGATGTATACCACACATCTCCTTGAATTAAAAAGCACTTCAAATGAAATCATAAATTTCAAAGTAATTCACAGCCATTGCCATCACTGTCATCTGGACTGAAGTATCATCTCTAAAAAATACCTTTATGTGCTAACATCTACATCATGTGGTCTTTGGTGGACAGTTGTTTCATTGGCAATCATACCACATCACCTTATCTTATAATAAAAATATGTCAAATAATTCTTCATGGCTGTGTTCATATTAAAAACATTAAAATCATAAACTTTTCTAACTGTCTAGAAACAAAAATCTTAGCTGGCTCCCAAATCACTTTCCATTAAATATAGAAAATCTTAGCTGTCTCCCAAATAACTATCCATTAAATATAGAAAATCTTAGCTGGCTCCCAAATTACTATCCATTAAATATAGAAAATCTTAGCTGGCTCTCAAATAACTACCCATTAACTATAAAAAATCTTAGCTGGCTCCCGAATATCTATCCATTAAACATAGAAAATCTTAGCTGGCTCCCAAATAACTATCCATTAAATATAAAAAATCTTAGCTGGCTCCCAAATAACTATCCATTAAATATAGAAAATCTTAGCTGGCTCCCAAATAACTATCCATTAAATAGAAAAATCTTAGCTGGCTCCCAAATAACTATCCATTAAATATAGAACTCTTAACGGGCTCCCAAATAACTATCCATTAAATATAGAACTCTTAACTGGCTCTCAAATAACTATCCATTAAATATAGAACTCTTAACTGGCTCTCAAATAACTATCCAATAAACATAGAACTATTACACTATGGTAGTTGTCGACTTACTCAGGAGGAAAATGAAAATATCTTTACACATGTGTTTGAGTTAATTAGAGGATTGAAGAGATGCCATATTGTTTAGATAGTGAAACATGACCACAGACACATCATCATCTATAGGGTCATATAAAAATAAGAAGATGTGGTATGATTGCCAATGAGACAACTTTCCACCAGAGACCAAATGCATAAGTTAGTTTTTTGGGGTTTTTTTTGGTTCATTTTCTTCTTTTTGAAATTTATAAATTTCTGTCCAATTTATTCAAATGCTGAAGTAATATTTTATGTATGCATGCTCTTATATATTGTATTGGTAAATATGTTAAATGGAGAAGACTTCATAAGTCTGTTTGAATTGTGTCTTATCTAATTTGTATTTATGCAAATAAAATATGTCTAAACTAAAACAAAAGTCGCAACTGAAAAAAAATGAAATAAGATGGAAATTTAGAGACATTTCATAACTGCCATCAAGTTTTACTTTGAAAACAAAGATTTTACAATGTAAGAGGCAAAAAAAGATATATCATAAACAATTTATTTACAATATGAACAAACACACTGAAACATTTATATCACAGTTAATATTATCATTACGTTGACTCCTTTGTTTGACTGGTAGCCTCATGATGATTATCAATACTATTCTCTGAATCACTTCCAAATAGTTTGTATTTAAGATCCATTCTCCAGCGAATACCTGCTACTTTCATTCTGTCATAGAATGCTCCAAATGAATCCAAGGCTGGACGAACATCCAGTAATGTAAACTGATAGTTTTCTTGTACTTTTCCACCATCGTAATAATCAATGATATATCTCACTTCTTTACCACATCTATCTACTATCCAATCGTGGCGGTCAAATGGCAGATCGTATCTACAATTATAAATTTATTCCATTGAACAAATTGTATATAATGAGCATTCCATTCCTACCAAGTACTAGAATGTGTGAAGTCTAAGTTGTATTTGGTTCCTGAATTTAAGTAAAAGGCTTTTTGGAATGGTACGGTATGTCCTGTGAGGTGTGGTCCATTTTGGAAAAGACACTGACAATTCATTATTAACTTTTACTTTCACTTTCATTTTAACGTCGTCAAATCAAAAACTTTTACTTTCACTTTCACTTTAACGTCATCAAATCAATTATTGTGACGTTACGTCTTGTTAACCTTTGTAACCCCATATGCACCGCATTTTATGTACTTCAGTATTTGTTTTCTATGTTTAAATTGTCCTGAAGACGCCACCGTAAGTGGCGAAACATGTAGACCATAATAAAGGTTTTCCTTGCAGTAATCTACGATGTTGTTGTCTTTGTGTAGCATTATTTAATTGAACTTTGAGTTAAAGATCTCTCTTACTTGGTATCTACATTCAATATCAATAGGAATAGAAAAGGATTGATAGGTTGAAGATCTCTCTTACTTGGTATCTACATACAATATCAATAGGAATAGAAAAGGATTGATTGGTTAAAGATCTCTCTTACTTGGTATCTACATCCATTATCAATAGGAGTAGAAAAGGATTGATTGGTTAAAGATCTCTCTTACTTGGTTTCTACATACAATATCAATAGGAATAGAAAAGGATTACAGCAAGGCTAAGACAGTCCCTTATGTCAACTATAGAAATATTACACCTTACAGCAAGGCTATGACAGCCCCTAATGTCAACTTATAGAAATATTACACCTTACAGCAAGGCTATGACAGCCCCTAATGTCAATTTATAGAAATATTACACCTTACAGCAAGGCTATGACAGCCCCTAATGTCAATTTATAGAAATATTACACCTTACAGCAAGGCTAAGACAGTCCCTAATGTCAACTTATAGAAATATTACACCTTACAGCAAGGCTAAGACATTCCCTAATGTCAACTTATAGAAATATTACACCTTACAGCAAGGCTAAAACAGTCCCTAATGTCAACTATAGAAAAATTACACCTTACAGCAAGGCTAAGACAGTCCCTAATGTCAACTTTAGAAATATTACACCTTACAGCAAGGCTTAAACAGTCCCTAATGTCAACTTATAGAAATATTACATCTTACAGCAAGGCTAAGACAGTCCCTAATGTCAACTATAGAAATATTACACCTTACAGCAAGGCTAAGACAGTCCCTAATGTCAACTTATAGAAATATTACATCTTACAGCAAGGCTAAGAGACTAAGACAGTCCCTAATGTCAACTATAGAAATATTACACCTTACAGCAAGGCTAAGACAGCCCCTAATGTCAACTTATAGAAATATTACACCTTACCACAAGGCTAAGACAGCCCTTAATGTTACATTAGCCAATTTGAACTTAATGAAATAAAAGAACAGAGTTCCAATGTCCCCTGTGTTGCACATATTTTATCTATCCAAGGTACAAGGGCAATAACAAAAAAAAGCACTCTTTTTTTTGTTCTTTAAAACTTTTTATTAATATCTGAAGAGAAATGAAGGCTTCAGAGCAAATGCAATGTGATTTCCATTATAATTTATATTTCCAAGGGGCAAACTCGTTAAAAATAATTGACCAGAGTGTCAAAGACATTGCTGATATAAACCTATGATATAAGTTTCATAAAATTCTGGCAAGAATTGTACATATGAGAGCGCTAACGATGCAATTTTCCATAAAATTAATGTTTCCGAGGGGCAATACTCTTAAAAATAATTGATTGGCACTGATTTTCAAATTCCTCCAAGACATTGCTAATATAAACCTCTGATATAAGTTTCATAAATTCTGGCAAGAATTGTACACATGAGAGCACTAACGATGCAATTTTCCATAAAATTAATGTGTCCAAGGAGCATAACTCTTTTAAAAATAATTGATTGGCACTGATTTTCGAACTCGTCTAAGACGTTGCTGATATAAACCTATGATATAAGTTTCATAAAAATCTGGCAAGAATTGTACACATGAGAGCGCTAACAAGACTGGACGGACAGACGGACAGATGGACGCCCGGTATTTCCATGTCCCCGTGCAATGCGTTACGCAGGGGACAATTAGGCACACAAAGGAAACAATTGAAGAAAATTTGGTGAGTCCATTTCAGCGACAGATTTAGGAAGCGTTGATTCTAAAAAAAAGAAACCACGGTATATGAATAGGCTGACATCCAACAATGGTTTAACATTAATCAATTAATCATACTTCCTTCAATCCGTTTTTTGTAAAAAGAGGTTTGACTGCCAACCTAAATTTGTTCATTTTTTACGATATTAGATGTGATAAAATCCTCTTCCATTTCAACATCCACTTCAGTTTGAAGTTCAGTCTAAGAATTAAAATCTCCTTGCTGAAAGGGATGTTTTACTTGTGAAATTGGACCTACAGTAAGTAGTTTATGTAGTTTGAGTATATCAGCAATTGTTACAATAATTAAATAATTCTTAATAAAACTAGAGGCTCTAAAGAGCCTGTGTCGCTCAACTTGGTCTATATGCATATACAACAAATGACACTCTCCAACATTGTAGACGAGAATAGAATTCATGACAAAAACCTCTGTTTTGTTGATCTTGTATTGCTGTCAGATCATTTAGTCCGTTTAGTTTCTCTCTATCTTCTTTAGTTTTTGCTCAATACACAAAAGAGGTTAAAAAAAACCTCATTTAAGGGCAATCACTCCTACAAAGAGTGACAGTCTACTAACTTTATCTGCAAAATTTGACTTGTTAGTAGACCTTATCTTATAATGCAAAACGTTAAAAAAAGGTAACAATCGTCATTAAAGGGCAATAACTCCAATAAGGAGTCGTCAGACAATTTCCTAAATTGTCTAAATTGTAGATCTTGTCTTGCTGATCATTTTTGCTTATTTAAATTTCTATCTATCTATTATAATTTTAAAGATATAAGGCAAAAACGCAAAAAAATTGGTAAAAATCGTCATCAAAGGGCAATAACACTAATAAGGAGTCGACTGATGATTTCGACCATGCGGACTTATTTGTAGAACTTGTTTTGCTGATCTTTTTTGCATTTTAAAGTTTCTCCCTATCTATTATAGTTTTCAAGATAACAGGCAAAAATGAAAAAAAAAATGGTAAAATTTGTCATTTAAGTAACTCCTATAAGAAGTCGTCTGACAGTTTTGATGTATATAAACAATTGGTAGAGCTCAACATTCTGCACATTTTTACTTTTTGTCAGATTTTCTCTATTTATAAAGGTTTTCAAAATAAAAGACAGAACTTGCATTTTCTCCATGTTCTAATTTTAGCCATGTCGGCCATCTTGGTTGGCAGGTGGGGTCATTGGACACATTTTTATACGCCCGTCAAATTTTTGACGGGACGTATTATGTTATACAAATGTCCGGCGTCCGTCCGTCTGTCTGTCCGTCTGTCTGTCTGTCCGGCGTAAACATGTCGCACCTTAACTTGAGAATGACTTATCCAAATTTCATGAAACTTAACATAGTTGTTTCTTATGATGGTCAAACGATCTGTATACTTTTTGGTGAAAATAAGATTAAAACTTTTTGAGTTACAGGACTTAGTAACTAAAACAGGTGTGTGTTTTTTTTCACATGTCGCGCCGTATCTCAAAAACAATTTATGATTATTGCTTAAAACTTTACACACTTCTTAGTTATATTAATCTTAAGATCTGTATACTTTTTGGTGATGATTCAATATTTTATTTTAGAGATATTGAGTATTTTGTTAAAAAAGGGGGAGGGGTTTTTCACATGTCGCGCCGTATCTCAAAAACAGTTTATGATTATTGTTTAAAACTTTACACACTTCTTAGTTATATTAATCTTAAGATCTGTATACTTTTTGGTGATGATTCAATATTTTATTTTAGAGATATTGAGTATTTTGTTAAAAAAGGGGGAGGGGTTTTTCACATGTCGCACCGTATCTCAAAAACGATTTATGATTATTGCTTAAAATTTTACACACTTCTTAGTTATATTAATCTAAAGATCTGTATACTTTTTGGTTTTGATTCAAATTTTATTTTAGAGATATTGAGTTTTTTGTAAAAAAAAAAGGGGGTTTTCGCATGTCACGCCATATGTCAGAAACTATTTATGCTTATTGCATGAAAATTCACACATAAGACGACGGGCGTATCATGCGCTCATGGCGCAGCTGTTTATTTAAACTAGATACCCCAATGCTGATTGTGGCCAAGTTTGGATAAATTTGGCCAAGTAGTTTCAGAGGAGAAGATTTTTGTAAAAGTTAACGATGACGGACGACGAGGACAGAGGCGAAATTAATAGTCAGACTTCGTATATATCATATATAAACATACATCAAGAAAAAAATAATGATTTGAAAAAAACAGACAATAGCACAAAATGTTGATTTTCATTAACTCTCAAGTGTTGAAATTGCTCAAGCAAGCCTTTATACTAGAACAAAATGCTAATATTCAGTAACTATCAAGTGTCTTATGGTTGTAGCAAGCCTCTTAACTAGAGTATAAGGGTAGTTTTCAGTTACTATCAAGTGTCTTATGTCTGTAGCAAGCCTCTTAACTAGAGTATAAGGGTAGTTTTCAGTAACTAGCAAGTGTTTTATGTCTGTAGCAAGCCTCTTAACTAAAGAGTATAAGGGTAATTTTCAGTAACTATCAAGTGTCTTATGTCTGTAGCAAGCCTCTTAACTAGAGTATAAGGGTAATTTTCAGTGACTATCAAGTGTCTTATGGTTGTAGCAAGCCTCTTAACTAGAGTATAAGGGTAGTTTTCAGTAACTATCATGTGTCTTATGTCTGTAGCAAGCCTCTTCACTAAAGTATAAGGGTTATTTTCAGTAACTTGCTATTAATGAAATTGCTCTGAAATGGGGACTCATAAATTGCAAGAATGTTTGTAAACACAAATACGGTTTTTGTTTTAAACCATATTTTTAATCTTACCCTAACCAGTTCCTGATTCTAGCTCTAGGTGAATACTCTGTGGCTTTTCCTCCAAACTTTTTTAATCTTGGGTCAGAACATTCACTGAAATAAATATCAGATATATGAGTTTTAATTTCATTGGTGCCCTGCAAATTCACATTGTATGATAACATTATTAATCATAATTTTTAGACTTTGGAAATATAAGATTTCAGTTAAAAATTACATAAACATGAATAAGCTTGGGTTTGATGACATAATTTGAATGTGAAGTCATTAAGGTGACATCTTTTAGTGGTAAATAAGCATGATGAAGACATTAGTCCAAGCGGAAATTTTTTTACAGGTGTGAAATTTTGAAATAGAAAAAAACTACATTGTTTGTTATACTTTTGGACAGTAGAATTAGTCAAGCAAAGTTTTGACTCATAGAAATTCGACTGAAGTAAATTAATATAAATTACTATGTTTCAACATCAAGAATTCAGCAAATTTCGACTGATGCTGAATTTCCAGTCAACAGAGTTATAGATAACAAGAGTCAACTGCAGTTCTTATACCTTTATAATATATGCCTGTTGATTGCATGAAACTATTATCTTATACTTGAGACAATTAATAGTTTATCATAAAGTGTGGCTGCTTGTCTTTTGTTGAAGACCTCAAAGTAATCTCTAGAATATGAGATGACTATTTATGTTAATGTGTACTGTTTAGTGACTATTTATGTTAATGTGTACTGTTTAGTGACTATTTTTGTTAATGTGTACTGTTTAGTGACTATTTTTGTTAATGTGTACTGTTTGGTTTCTGTATCACTGCCAGATGTTTACCACACAGCTCCTCATTCATAATACCAAATCTGATTTTAATGATGCACAGCTTTACTAGTGATATTACAATCTACCTTGCATGAAATGCCTCCCATTTTAACACTTCCTGCCAGGCCTGTTCATTGTTGGCATTGTGTATTTGTATAATGTGATTCATGTCTTCTGCTGCGACATCTTCTTCCTTCCATCGCCAACCTGCAACATCAAGTCTTTAAAATGATAACAAAGAATAAGAATTCTTATATACTTGTTACAATATTTGAATGATTATTTTCAAATAGTATATAAATCTGTTTCATTCAACTAATTTTTGTATTTATAACCCAATAACTTCAGGTTAATGTAGAGGTGTTGTGAGTAAAGACCACAATTTGATACCCCCATGACTTGGTATAAAGGGAAACCCCAAAAATAATTAAAATAATAATACTACAGTAAATTCCCAAATTATTGCCAGCACTTATTATTGCGATTTTTTAACAATGGACACAAATGAGAGATTAATTATTGCCATTTCATGAAAATGTTCATACAGATAATATATCCTATATCAGAATGGTAGTTCTTATTTTTGCGAAACTCACTTCTGAATTTACAGTTTTAAAAGGTGAAGATTCTGAAAAATTTCATCAACATAGGAATAGGGATTTAGGAGGAAAAAAATGAAATAAATGTGTTTTGTAGTAAGCAGATGATAATGCTGAAGGAAATCACAAAAATGATTCTGATCAAAAACAAAATAGGAAGTATAACAGCATTATGGTGACTAAGATTGTGAGAAAAATTAATAAATTGTAATTAGGGGTTTAGGAGCAATTGCTGATACAAATATGGGACAGGACAAAGGAACAAATTTAGGGACAGGACAAAGGAACAAATGTGGGACAGGACAAAGGAACAAATGTGGGACAGGAAAAAGGAACAAATGTACGGAGAGGAGAAAGGCACAAATGTGGGACAGGACAAAGGAACAAATGTGGGACAGGACAAAGGAACAAATGTGGGACAGGACAAAGGAACAAATGTAGGATAGGACAAAGGAACAAATGTAGGGACAGGACAAAGGAACAAATGTGGGACAGGACAAAGGAACAAATGTAGGGACAGGACAAAAGAACAAATGTAGGGTCTGGACAAAGGAACAAATGTGGGACAAGACAAAGGAACAAATGTAGGGACAGGACAAAGGAACAAATGTGGGACAAGACAAAGGAACAAATGTAGAGACAGACGCCCTCATCACCTTCATCAGGAATGCTAAATACCAAAACTGTGAAGGTTTAGAATGTAAATACTTGATGAGCTACATGACCAAAATCAACAATAAAATAGCCAACATATCTAACATAAATCTTGAAGAGCTGATACAATTGAAAAGGACCAAAAGTATAACCGAACACACATAACAAATCAGATTGTGGCATGAGGAAGATACATTCCTTAATTTGAAAGGATTTCATTAGTTTTATCACTTCTAATTTCATAAAACAAACTACAATTTGAGTCTTGCTAAAAATATTATAGCTTGGCAGGTTTTGAATTGTCAGTTTTATTTACTAGCTGTCATCGTCTCTCTGGAATGCTTTATCTTTAAAATTAGAATGATACCTTTGCTTACAGAATCAGTAATATTTATATCAAAGGCTATTAGAGATTGACTTTGAAAAGTAAAGATAATAGTTATAGAATCATTCTTACACAAATTTATATCTTATGTCTATAAAGTATACACCATTTTCACAGCCCCCAAACTGATGACTATATATTCTTTACCATGGACTTTTTTTTTGGAATTTTGTGTGCATAAAAAACTGGTTTAACCCAACTACAGTTTGTGCCTGTACCAAGTCAGGTTATCTAAGACTATATGTTGTTCATTGTTGTTTGACATGGCTTGGGAGGTGTTGAGTAATAGTGGTTTATGTGATCTGTTTGTACTATCCAATACTTTTGGTGATTCCTGTTACCAATTTATGTATTCCTCTGTTCACATCTCTAAATCTTACCTTTCCTAAGCATAGCATTCAAGAACATTTGCTGTGAAGGATACACCCAGTTTTCCTCTGTTCACATTTCTTATCTTACCTTTCCTAAGCATAGCATTCAAGAACAATTGCTGTGAAGGATACACCCACTTTTCCTCTGTTCACATTTCTTATCTTACCTTTCCTAAGCATAGCATTCAAGAACAATTGCTGTGAAGGATACACCCACTTTTCCTCTGTTCACATTTCTTATCTTACCTTTCCTAAGCATGGCATTCAAGAACATTTGCTGTGAAGGATACACCCACTTTTCCTCTGTTCACATTTCTTATCTTACCTTTCCTAAGCATGACATCCAAGAACATTTGCTGTGAAGTATACACCCACTTTTCCTCTGTTCACATTTCTGATCTTACCTTTCCTAAGCATGGCATTCAAGAACATTTGCTGTGAAGGATACACCCACTTTTCCTCTGTTCACATTTCTTATCTTACCTTTCCTAAGCATGACATCCAAGAACATTTGCTGTGAAGTATACACCCACTTTTCCTCTGTTCACATTTCTGATCTTACCTTTCCTAAGCATGGCATTCAAGAACATTTGCTGTGAAGGAAACACCCACTATTCCTCTGTTCACATTTCTTATCTTACCTTTCCTAAGCATAGCATTCAAGAACATTTGCTGTGAAGGATACACCCAGTTTTCCTCTGTTCACATTTCTTATCTTACCTTTCCTAAGCATAGCATTCAAGAACAATTGCTGTGAAGGATACACCCACTTTTCCTCTGTTCACATTTCTTATCTTACCTTTCCTAAGCATGACATTCAAGAACATTTGCTGTGAAGTATACACCCACTTTTCCTCTGTTCACATTTCTGATCTTACCTTTCCTAAGCATGGCATTCAAGAACATTTGCTGTGAAGGATACACCCACTTTTCCTCTGTTCACATTTCTTATCTTACCTTTCCTAAGCATGACATTCAAGAACATTTGCTGTGAAGTATACACCCACTTTTCCTCTGTTCACATTTCTGATCTTACCTTTCCTAAGCATGGCATTCAAGAACATTTGCTGTGAAGGAAACACCCACTATTCCTCTGTTCACATTTCTTATCTTACCTTTCCTAAGCATAGCATTCAAGAACATTTGCTGTGAAGGATACACCCAGTTTTCCTCTGTTCACATTTCTTATCTTACCTTTCTAAGCATGGCATTCCAGAACATTTGCTGTGAAGGATACACCCACTTTTCCTCTGCTCACATTTCTTATCTTACCTTTCCTAAGCATGACATTCCAGAACATTTGCTGTGAAGAATACACCCACTTTTCCTCTGTTCACATTACTTATCTTACCTTTTCTAAGCATGGCATTCCAGAACATTTGCTGTGAATGATACACCCACTTTTCCTCTGTTCACATTTCTTATCTTACCTTTCCTAAGCATGGCATTCCAGAACATTTGCTGTGAAGGATACACCCACTTTTCCTCTGTTCACATTTCTTATCTTACCTTTCCTAAGCATGGCATTCCAGAACATTTGCTGTGAAGGATAAACCCACTTTTCCTCTGTTCACATTTCTTATCTTACCTTTCCTAAGCATGGCATTCCAGAACATTTGCTGTGAAGGATAAACCCACTTTTCCTCTGTTCACATTTCTTATCTTACCTTTCCTAAGCATGGCATTCCAGAACATTTGCTGTGAAGGATAAACCCACTTTTCCTCTGTTCACATTTCTTATCTTACCTTTCCTAAGCATGGCATTCCAGAACATTTGCTGTGAAGGATAAACCCACTTTTCCTCTGTTCACATTTCTTATCTTACCTTTCCTAAGCATGGCATTCCAGAACATTTGCTGTGAAGGATAAACCCACTTTTCCTCTGTTCACATTTCTTATCTTACCTTTCCTAAGCATGGCATTCCAGAACATTTGCTGTGAAGGATAAACCCACTTTTCCTCTGTTCACATTTCTTATCTTACCTTTCCTAAGCATGGCATTCCAGAACATTTGCTGTGAAGGATAAACCCACTTTTCCTCTGTTCACATTTCTTATCTTACCTTTCCTAAGCATGGCATTCCAGAACATTTGCTGTGAAGGATAAACCCACTTTTCCTCTGTTCACATTTCTTATCTTACCTTTCCTAAGCATGGCATTCCAGAACATTTGCTGTGAAGGATACACCCACTTTTCCTCTGTTCACATTTCTTATCTTACCTTTCCTAAGCATGGCATTCCAGAACATTTGCTGTGAAGGATAAACCCAATTCTCATCTGTTCCTGCTTTTGGTATATTTGATATAACTCTGTTTGTAGCTAAAGGAAATGGCTGATCAGGTGATGGTCTCTGGTTTGGTGGTGGCATCTGCAATTATTTTAAGTCAGTACTTATTTCATGACAGTTTTTTATACTTCATTCCAGACATTATCTACTTTTTAAAATCATTCTGCCACTCAAAATATTTGGAAAACTCTAAAATGATGAAATGTTTTAGGTCTTTTACATCTTACATACATTTAAAGTTCTGACAGTGTACTTTCGTTGTCAATTTGTTTTTTCTCACTGAATCATACTAAGTATGGACATAGCAATTACCAAACGAGAAATTCAAAGCCGATTATAAGTAGTGTACAGATAGAAATTGCTGTCAGACAACAGCAGTTTAAATATTCATGTGCATGTATATATTTAAGAAATGATTATTTCATGCCTTGCTCTATGCTCATTTTAACATGGGTAGGCATTATATTTGTCAATATCTTTATACCGAGTGTTAGCGAGGTGTAAAATGTTGACAAATATAATGCCTACCCATGTTAAAATGAGCATAAAGCATGGCATGATAGAATCATTTCGATTTCTAATAGGAAAATTTGGAAATTTTGTACTGCGAAGAGGAACTATAATTCACGTTCGAAAGGCAGCCATTTTGATTTGATGATGCCAAAACATTATAGAAAAACAACCGTTTCACGATTAAAAAAAAACCAGATACATGTAAAGTTACTTTTAGAATGATTTTATTTAATTTCCTAGCAAGCAACACCAACAAAAATGTCTATTTTGATCTCCGACGTTGTTCAAAATACAACTGACGTTGCAATTTCAATTTTGACGTCAATCACGTGCAGCCCATGTTCTATTGGAATTAGAACATGGCTTTGTTTCCAAAGCAAAAGAAGAACGTCATATTAGAATGTACAACAAGTAGTTGTGTATGCAAACCACAAATAAATATTTTAAACCTATATCGATTAAATTTGTATAATTACTTACTTGATTACTGAACAAATTTTTTAAATCTCACTTTCGACAAATTTGTATCATCGTTTGTTTAAGCTCCCATGTTTTGACGACTTTCACTTTTGCTTATATTCAGAATGCTTATATTCTGTTAGAGTCCATGGTTCAATGACGTTACTTACACAGAATGACCTTGGGTCACTCATTTATAAAAAGCATATGAAGGGGAAGTATGATTGGAACAGTCCAAACAAATCATAACGTTACCGATCAGCTAACATACAATATATTTGAATTTGACCATGTCACAGGTGTGTACTCAAAGCATTACCATGTCACAGGTGTGTACGCAAAGCATTTGAAGAATGTCCTATTAAACCATTTATCAGCATGAGTGTGTTCTTACATCAGAAGGTTATAAAACAGATTAATATGTGATTTTTTCCATATCATCCCAGTTATCATCCCCCGACCCATATCAGACCTTCTGCTTTCGCCTGGGTCTGATAACCTGATCAATATTGAAAAAGTAATGTATTAATCTGTATATTCACATGAAAATAAAGAAATGACTCTTTCCATATAAGTCCTGTTATCATAAATAATATTACCATATTCAATGGGTCAATATCATTTTGTGATCCTTTGTGCATAGGACATTCACTAGGGTAAGACTTTGTCTGTTCCTGGTGCATAGGACATTCGCTAGGATAGTTATTCATGTCTTTTTTACCCTGATCCATTGGACTACAATTAGCTGCTCCCATTACTGAAGAAAACAATAAAAAGGTAACATCAAACTAATTTGTTGATCTACAAATGTACGCATGTCATGTGAAAACAGATTAAAACAATTAAACAATATGGTGTTTTCCATCATTTCAGTTCTACTGTCTGCAACCTAGAGACTAGTCTAAAATCCAGATAATTGATAAAAAACAAAATTGAATATTTGTCTTCTAAAAAGAAACATGACAATATTGAGAATTTATAATCAATAACAATATATGACAGGCCAATGATGTGACATATCTAAGCATGGACCTTAGATCTGTAACATTTGTAACATTAATGTAAGTTTTCTACCTTGACCAGGGGAGTAGCTACAAAAAACATGTATTTTCCAACATCAGTATTGTCAGCCAACACAGTTGCTGGGCCTGCTTTGGCTCCAAATAAGTTGGAGCCAGAAAAATCACCAGCTGCTATTGTTTGTCGCCTGTTTGAAAAACTTGGAGCCAACTTTAAAGCCAGCAAGAGTCTTGATTTCCTCTACCCAAATTGAAACCACATTCAATTTAAATTTCTTATGCACTGTACATCATTTAACTTTAAGTGATGATTTGTCATGTTTCGGTGAAAGAAAAAAAAAACCAAACAGGTTCACTGAATACTAATGACATTGATTTAAAATCAGAACTGGATAGAAACCAAGTCTGATTTTTACAATGCCATTAGAGCGCTCATAAGGCAATTCTCCCTGTAATTAATATTTCCAAGGGGCATAACTCTTTTAAAAATTATTGATCGGCACTGATTTTCAAATTTGTCCAAGACATTGCTAATATAAACCTATGATTTAAGTTTCATAAATTTCTGGCAAGAATTGTACATATGAGAGCGCTAACAATGCAATTCTCCATATAATTAAGGTTTCCAAGGGGCATAACTCTTTTAAAAATAATTGATCGGCACTGATTTTCAAACTCGTCCAAGACATTGCTGATATAAACCTATGATATAAGTTTCATAAAAATCTGGCAAGAATTGTACACATGAGAGCGCTAACAAAGTTTCCAAGGGGCATTACTCTTTTAAAAATAGTTGATCGCCACTGATTTTCAACTTGTCCAAGACTTTGCTGAATTAAACCTATGATATAAGTTTCATACACGTGAGAACGCTCACAAGACTGGACGGACAGATGCACGGACGTACTGATGGACGCCCAGTATTTCCATGTCCCCCGCAACGCGTTGGGCACGGGACAAAAATAAATAGTTTTGAGGATCATTATTTCCTATCAGAATGGCAGATTACCTTTTAAAAACAAATTAGGACACCTGTTGTGATTTGTTGATTAGCTTTGGGTCATAAACTTGTAATAAATAGGTCGCCAGGTAAAATTGTAGATGGACCCAATTACATTCAAATTTTGAATCTGGTTCCTTACCTGGAAGAAGAAAAAGTGTACAAATTATATCAAACAGTTTCACCATGACAAAGTTGTACATGAGAAACAAAAAAATACTACTAAAACATAATGGATCCCTTCGTCAAAGGGAACATATAACATTCATCTTATACGGACTTTGTGCTCGGTCACAGGTAACAATTGCCTCATATTACAAACTATAACGATTGGGCATCAAGTGACAGTGTCATGTCCTTGAATAAAACTTCTAAAAAAAGTTATATCCTTGAACTTCTGAAGAATTACTTACCAATAATTTACTGTTTTAAGTTGACTTCTATTCTGTAGTCGGTTGTACGATGACTAACTATTTGTTTTAAGCGAGTCTGTTGTTTACATAAATAGTATATTCACGGTAAATGTCATTCTTACGAAACATGCTTATTTTTTCGTACAGAGTTACTGGCCCTTTTTCAAACTGTGAAATGCTAAAACCTGATCTACGTAAATTCAGATTTTAATTTGGAATATTATTGCAATAAAAAAAAATGTATTAATTATTATCAATCCATTAATAGTGATTTCAATGGTACCATTTCAATGTGTAGAATTGAATTCAAGACTTATAATTTTTTTTTATCAAAATTTATTATTAAAGGCGCTGCTGGATAACTCGGCCTAAAACAAACTCGGCCTAAAACAAACTCGGCCTAAAGCAAACACGGACTAAGTCTTACAGCAAACTCGGCCTAACATTATCTATATAATGAAATACAGTGAACAAACTCGGCCTGTGATATTTAGATCGTTTTTTTCACTGTTTTTTTTTACTTATTTCGTTTCTTTTCCTGACTGCAATTAAATTTGTACATTTTTTCCCATCCCAATCGTTGAATTTGTTTTTGAAAGAAATCGACATGACTTAAACGCAGACCGCAATGAGGACCCCAAATTGAACTGTGACGTAAACAGTAATTTGACATAACCGTTCGCAACAGAAGCAGGATACCAGGAGACTATATATACGTCTAGTATACGTATATCTCTTCGTGTTATCTGTTCACCTGTAATAGTATAGTAGAAAGGTCGATTGCAGGATAAATTCTTCTATTAGTCCGATTTGTTATACACCGAGTTAGTTATAGTCCGATTTTGTTATAGGCCGAGTTTGTTATGGGCCGAGTTATCATGGAGTCATTTACGGGATGAAGGAACTTTTTTTATAATCCACGGTGACATACACACTTCCGGTTATTTGTTGGCGGCAACTTCAATATGGGGAAAACAAAACAACCTAAAAAATATTCTGAAGAAAACTCAAAAGAAAACAAAAAGACCAAACAAAGGTTCATTCATGATGCTTAATTAGATAAGAGTTTCTCTTCGATAGAATTGAGTTCAGATATACATAGTTAAAACTGTTTTTGACTTGTCACCACTGACACCAGACTCAGTCTTCCCAGGAACATATATATTGACGGGACTTGACACTACCTAATTGTAGCCGATTTTATCGTCGGGTCATGGGTAACAAAGATACGATACGGAAACGGACATGTGTTAAAAACGTACTCGCTATTATCCCAATAAATTCTGATAAATTATATCAATAAAATGTCATTCAAACTAGTTTTACAGTGATGCCAGTGTATCAAACTTGTATTCTGTCACTTCAAATTTTTTATAATCGCATTCATTTTATCACAGAATGGTACAGAATGCAAACAGGGAAACGAAAAAATGGCGCCGATTGCCTTCCCAAATTCAAAACATTATAAAACACTTCACATCAAATAAATCACACTTATTTCGGTAATTTTATATGTCAAAATGTATCTACTTTATGATAAAACTTGTATTTATTTACGATTAGAATTATGTGGTCAATTTATTGAGCAGTTCCGATACTGTTTTTCAGTCAGGCGCCACCAAAATCCATAAATCTCGCGAAGTCTCGTGGAGTCCGAGATTTTATCAATTTTATAACGAAAAGCCTATCAGATTCATTTCCCGTTAGATATACTGTTCCCAGGTCTTCCCAGGAACTTGTATCAGTTAAATACCCCCCCCCCCCCCCCACCAAAAAAAAATTGATAAACCTTCACTTGAACTAATATGAGACAGCTATCTGATGAGTGTCTGTCTACTTTTCAGTACTTGCTAGTCCAAATAATTTTGAGGTCTTGAAAATGAAAGGCTAATTTAATATTTTGCCGTGATACCTTCCTATGACTTTCCGAACCAATTTTTGCAGCTGGACTTCAAGAAGAAATTTTGCATTGAAATCTTCATGCCGGCAAGAAATTTGCATGTATAAAAATTTGAACCTTTTGTGTGCTTGGAGCAATCTATAATTTTCCAGAAATATCCAAAAGTAATGATAAAATAAGTAAATAAGTTATGATTCCATCTGAGGAGAAGATGACTTCGACTTCTTCTGAATATGGGAGTAGACTCCTACAGTACCATTTAAACAGATCGATTCGAGATCGTTTTTTTCCGATTTCCAAGGATTTACACCGCGTTCCGCGGATTATACTCCCAATTTCCTCCAAACATTCTCTCCCAACACTGCGTGGCTGTTAATTGGTTTATTGCCCATCGGATGTCCTAAAAATTAACGACGTGTGACAACATAATCGGATTAGCCAGATTATTTACCTACCGTTAAAAGGCTTGTATAGTCCGCGGTTTTATTCTCTGAAATTGAACCTGCCAGCAGGGGTGCGGACTATAGAGAACAATAAGCAAGAAATAAGAAAAAAATTAATTTCGAGAGGTGGTTTATTTTCGTTCCGCCATGTTTGTTATTAATATTGTAGAGGGCGCTCTTATCATTTTTCAAACTAATAATTTTACCTAATCCATATTAATAAGTTATTATTATTCAATATCAAATTAATATTGATAAATTTAAAAATTAAACGCTTCATAACAAATTTCTTGTTTCTTTTCAATGCATTGCTTATAAAATAAACTGGTATCTGCTTGAATGAAACTGTACAAAAAAAGTAAAAAAGACAACCGTAAACCAGCTTACGATGTGTAAATTACAAAACGTAATCGGTTATTATACGTTCCGTTTTGGTGTTTCATAGTGACTAATATGTTATTTATTAGCTTAAAACCCTTCAAACATTAATGTGATAGATATATTTAACACTATTTTACATCAGGATGGAACTGTTTTACTTTCAAAGTCGTATTATATTGATATTTAGTATGTATGGATTCCGACTCACCATTTTTTTCTCTTCTTTTACACATGCTTTTCAAACTTCCAGTTTAAACATAAACAAGTTTCTAAATTGTTTTTTGTGTGATTTAGACTTATTTTAACAATCATGAAGGCTTTTAGAATCATTTACTAGCAGTTTCAGCTTCTGTTTGTTAATGGAAAATAGGTTTTTCCAAGGAAATACTGCATACGATCACACATGATTTAAAATTACCGGAGTTTCATTAGACCTTTTATAACAGTTACAAAAAGTTTTTTTACCAAAAATTTCGTGGGGAGAAGGGGGTGCGGACTATGTACCAGTGCGAACTATACAAGCCCGATTACGGTATGTACATCTAATCGATCTTGATTGCACCTGTGTGCTTTAAAAACACTGTTTTAAAATTTTAACAAATGTTTTCCTTTCTTTGACAGATAAAGATGTGACATTATCATTCAGCATAAGATAATTATTCTTATATGTTTTTGCCCCATGTCATTGTCATTTGAAATAAAACGTACAAACGAATAAAAATACGAAGAAAAAACTTATTTTGTATTTCTATTATCTGATTATAGTCCGGTCAGGTCATACTTTATGTTCTTTCAACAAAGACGATTTTACCACAATTAGAATCTTTTATGACTTACTCAGTAAGCAATTTCCGGTGCATATTTATTTTGCAATGTAAAATATTATGTTTCACTACCTCGGTACATGACCGACTTGAATTATTTGAATTCCGAAAAGAAACTGTAAAGTGACAACTCTGTTGAACAAAGGGAATAAGTTTTGTATGCATGCCCTTTATTCATAAAAACAAAACACTGAGAGAAATTCCCCGCCCAGGCACAAAATTTTGGGAGGAATATCGGAGTTTCTCGGAGTGACTCCGAAATTTTCCTCGGTGTAGGGTGTGGGAGAGCTGGTCCGTTTGAATGGTACTGTAGGTAGGAGTGTAAAACTTCCCGGAAGTTGTGTGCTATGTACATACATGACATATGGACTTAATTAAAATTACTATAAACAATAAATAAAATAGTCTATAGAATAACATATATACATTATGTACAGTGGCTTTGGTGGTTTAATAAGTTGGTGTGGGTCTTTCAAATGTTAGAGTGGATATGCCACTTTTGAAGGATTCCAGGGTGTCGGACATACCTATTGCTTCAGGTAGTGAATTCCAGTCAGAGATGGTGTTGGATAAAAAGAATATTTATAGAAGTCTTTATTAGTAGCAATTTGCCGAAATTTATGTTGCCCCCTAGTACGTCTATCAGATTTTGTAAAATTGTCCTTTCGAACTACTACTAACCCCCAATTAATTTTATATAGCATTGTTAATCTAGCTTTTTTTCGTCTATTATGTAAACTTTCCCATTGCTAAGAATTTATCATATTCGAAACTGCACCCAGTGTTCTGTCTTTATAATCGTTATAGACAAATCTGGCTGCTTTACGCTGAATCTGCTCAACCTGAGTGATGTGGTGCTTTTTATACGGATCCCAAACAGGGGAAGAGTATTTGACGACTGGACGGACAAGTGATGTGTACGTAAGGTTTTTAACCTTACGTGTGCAGTTTTTTAAATTTCTACGAAGAAAACCTAAGGTTTTAATTGCCTTACAGGTAATATTATTTATATGTGTTCCCCAGTCAAGATCATGGCTTATACTTACACCTAAATATTTACTGTCTGACAGATTCTAAAACATGATTATGCAATATATAATCAAAAGCAGAAGGGTTAATTTTTTTAGATATATGTACCCACTTCTTTTTTCAAATGGTTACACAGGTTTCCTAATATCCATCACTTGGGAAGAGTATGAAATAAATTTTCAAACCCTAATTTCCAGAACATTCTATTTATATCATCTGGAAATTGAGGCCTGTCCAATTTCAAGAAGTTTGGTTTGTAATTTTTTTTTATAAAAATCAAAATAACTTCAATAGGTACATTTTGTAATTACTGAAATTTACTAATCAATAGAATAAGCTTTAATAAAAATCACTTGTTTAAGTAAACTCATCATAGATACCAAGATTAACATTTTGTACGCCAGACACATATTTCTTCTCCAAAAGACTCATTAGTGATGTTTGAATCAAGAATGTTTTAAAAAGGCCAAATAAAGTGCAAAGTTGAAGAGCATTGAGGACCCCAATTCGAAAGGTTTTGCCAAATACAGCTTATTAGGTAATTATTCCTGGGGTGTTAAAGTAGTACTCCTGATTGAATAGCACAAGGTCATGTGATAGATAGGTTTTTCAGGATCATGGTACAGTGGACTTGTTAGCCAGGAATAAGTTAATTTCATGTCAAAAATTTCCCTTTCAGTTCTTACAATAGTACAGTCAGACAGGATTTGTCAATGACTCTCATGACCAGATCAAGTCCATTGAAAAACATGATTTTTCATTTAAAACATAAGATAAGTTTTAAATACACTTTTTTTACAGAAAAAAGAAGTTAACAGATGAAAATGATGGACGTGTACATATAAAATGGGCAGTGAGCCAAGATCAAACAGAGAGACTTTACAGTGAACTTGGTGTAGAGAATATTTCCGATGAGAGCTCCGATAGCTGTTACGCCTTAGAGTTAACACCAGCTGTTACAGTTAACAAAGATAAACCAGTCGCTCCATGTGTATGATCAATTCTAAATATATAAAAAAAAAACAAGTTTTTTTTTTAAATATGAAAATACAACATTAAACTTTAGAAATAATTTATGCAAGCCATAGATTTGTTAGCCATTAATTTTCAAATTTTATCAAGATAGTTAGAGAGGATAAAAAATAAACAAATATAATTATAAAGGCACAGGCCTTGTAAAAATGACAAAAATGTCTATGGCTTGCATGAATTATTTCGATTCTAATAGGACAGATACAGTCATTTTAAAAAAACTGAAGGGAATATCAGTATGGCTGTTCTACTTGACCCTTTGTAAAATAAAGATAAAATTTTTAAAATCTATGACTTTAATGAATTATTTCTTAAATTACCTCTATAAAAATGTGTTTACTCCGTATAATTCTAAACCAAAACATTTGAAAATTACTATTTTTTTAATCAGTTCTATTTACTGTCAAATATACAGTTGACATGTAGTAACTAAGGATTGATTTTCAACTTTCAACACTATTGGCTATTTTGTGGTGGTCAGTTTTTATTGGTGGAGGAATCTGGAGAGAATCACGACCTTCGGCAGGAAAACTGACAATCTCATAACTAAGGAGTTAGCCATCATGTTAACTTGCTGAAATCCATAAATGTGTGAATAATGCAATAAAATGGAAAATTAAACAACACCTACCTTAAAACTCCATTTTATGATAAATTATCCCAATTTGGACCGGACAAGTACCAGAATAACCTTTAGTTTGAGAGTTTTCATTCAAATGATATCATGTTTTGAACGTGTTGTTTCAAAGTTAAAGCAGTAAGTCATATTAGAATGGCCTATAATGGGCACTCTTGCAAGTTATAATTGCGTTTTACTAAGAAGTTTATTGAAATAGTCGTCAAAAATATTAGAATTATGATGTAAAATTTAAAACTATTGAAAGCAAATATTATTGCTAAATATAAATTTTAACTCTCCTCAAGCTGGAGCAGACATTGTAACTGCATAGTTTCTGTAATCTGTAGCTCCCAAAAGTTTTAATCATCATTCAAATTTTGTGTAGTGATCACATACAGATTGTCATGAAACTTTATAACAATTTGGACATCAATTCAAAAATATTTTACAAAAGTAATCATTCTTGTGTCCATGAAAGAATTAAGAAAATTCTGGAAAACTTGTCTGATTAAGATATATTAAGAGATAAAATTTGTTGTAATTGTGAAAAACAGAAGATGTCACTGATGTGTGGTTTACTTGAATGAGGCAACAACTTAACAATACAAAAAGATCAAAAGACATCTAGACAAAATAGTCCAACAAATGACAGCTGTCAAGAACAAAATATGGAAAGCACTGTCTCATCCAGAGTGTAGTGTAGCGTTCAGTTGAAAATTATGAACACAAATGGAATGCACAAGTAAATCCAATTCAAAATAGTGCTTCACACTGGAATACTGGTACAATTTGATATGACAACTATATACACAGATGTTAAAGAAATTTTTTCATTAGGACATTGTTTAAGTGCATTTTATTAGAATAACAAAAAAATTTGGATATATTTACTGAGTTGATTGATGTGTAAACTTGGCCTTTAACTAGCAAACTTAATAGTTCTGTGAGTAAATTGCGAGTTTGTGTATCAATAAACTTTGTAAAATAACATTGTTTCTTATTATTCCAATACACTTGCACTTCAATTATGTGCTGATATATTGATTAATTGTAGGCTCCAAGAATACTGCTTCCAAGCCAAAAGCCAAACCTAAACCACAGTTACACATCTGATGACGTAGAACTTATATCTCCCTTGTCAACACCAAATAACAAAAAATTTCTTCATTATTGCCATGACGATAATGATGATGATGTTGATGAAGACAGTCAGTATGGTATGTGATTGTTAGTTTCCTAACATAAGACAATTGGTTTAAATGAGGACTTTAGATTAATGCCATGTGATCGGATAGTGCCCCTATCTCTGTAGGTAAAAGAATCCTTATAATGACTCTCTTAAGCACCCCTAGACAACCTATTTCACAGGGAAATTTGTGTCACTTAATAATAATTTTGCTTTTTTTCTGTAATAAACATGAGCTAGCTGTGACATTTTGCATGGCCTGAAAGTTTGGTCGTCATCTTATCTGGAATAAAATGAAAATAATTTAACTGTTTTGACGTTTGGGAAAAATTACAAGGGAAACATACATTAACCTAAAAATGATTTCTTTTCATTTCAGATTATTTTGCAGAACTGTCAGATGAAGTTATCTTAAACATATTTAAATGGCTACCACGTTTTACTTTAGCAAAATGTGCTCGGGTTTGTCATCGATGGAGTAGACTTGTGTAAGCTACTGTGTAGATATGGATTTAATTAGACTAATTTTTTTTTATAGTTTTTTTTTTTCTCTGGTCAAAGTCAACAATTTAGAGTGTTGCATACTAGCTATACTAAAACTAAGTCAAAGAAAGAGGACATGAAAAAAAAACAGATGAAAAGATAACTGTTCAAAACCAAAAAAATACATAAATAAAGCAACACAAACCCTGCTCCTGCTCCATTTACAGCACCTATTGTGCAGTGCTTTCATCAGCGTTCATCATTTACAGCACCTATTGTGCAGTTATTTCATCAGCGTTCATCATTTATAGCACCTATTGTGCAGTGATTTCATCAGTGTTCATCATTTACAGCACCTATTGTGCAGTATTTTAGCCATTTACAAAAACAATCGTAATGACAAAAGAATTAAGATTAATTTCGATACTTAAATTTATAAAGTAAAGAATTTTTATTAAATCTAATAAATTTACAGTGTGACATGTTTATGACAGAATAGAGACATTAAAGTAACTTGAACTGTAATATAAAGGTTAATTACTAATCTAGTTACATAGACTGTGGTCAAGATTAGGTACTGGTTTTTCTTGGACACCTGTTGTATTAAACATGCATGAAATATTTGCCACTGGATGTTTATCAACCAACAATCAAACGTTTTATTAATTCTAAAACAGTGACTTAATATGCTCAATTTGCCTGTTATGCTTTGGTGTATATTACATCTGAACAATTGAAAAGTTGCTACCCAAAATAATTAGCATTACTTTGTTTATCTTTGACACCAGTTAAGCAGAATCATCTTGACGTTTATTGACCTTATCAATAGCTGGTGCATGATAAATTTTAGGCCTTCTATAGTGCTCTTAATGATGGACAAAATTGGCTTTTGTTTGAGGTCTGTTGTTAAATTGTAAATTTATCATTCTAAGGTTTGGAAACATTGGTATCATGTAATTTAGTCATTTAGCCTCCAAAAACTATATTGTAATATTCTTTATTCTATGATGAATATACATTTAATGTAAATGTAAGATGTCAGGGCTGATATGCATAAAACCACTTACGTTAAGATATTATCCAATCGTAGTACTAATTTATGGTAGGACATGAAGAAAAAATCGGTTCGTTCGGAACAAATCTTAACTTTAGTAGTTATATGCATATCATCCCTGATATATACAAAAGAGACAGCAGCCTATCAACACAACAAAACCATAAAGGACATCTACGGTAGATACTATATAAAGTCCAACAAAAAACTTTAAAATTTAAACAATTGTTGGGGAGTGTTATTTACATCTCTTCTGTCTTATCCATTGACGTATACAACAGTACTGTAAGTAAGTCTGAAGTAAAACCTACTATAAACTAACATCTAGTTAGAAAATTATGGAAATTATCAATGTTTCAGTGCTGATGATCACCTTTGGAAGAGAATTGACCTTTCAAACAGAACCTTGTCACCAGGTGTACTAGGAAATGTTTTGCGACGAGGAGTGCAGATTCTGAGATTAGCTAAATCTGAGGTAAATACATGTTTCAATTAATAAATCACAAAACCCCAACTCATGCCTTTACTTAAAGATAATTTTTTGATATTACACACAACAAAGCTTTGATGGGTTTAAATTATTTTTTGTAAAGTGGCAAAAGGAAACATATTACACTATTTGATATTTTGTATCAAGCTTCATGTGAGCACGCTGTACTGTGATGCATTCTCATTATCAACTTCCTGTTACCTGAATAGTGATAGCACAGGTATCAGAAGTGAGCAGTAGCTCACATTTCAAATATGTTTTATGTAACATTGAACTTCCATGACAGCTGTATAATATTATAAAATGTAAAACAAAAAAATATGAATAATTCACTGTAGACTAACTTAGTAACTAATGATTATCTTCTGATTTTGTTAGATTGAAGGTCCTGTATTTATTTGTTCTCCGAAGGTACTCAGTTTTACAAGGTAAGTTGTACAAGGTATACATTCAAATTAGAGTGACTTAATGTTCAATCAAACTAAGAAAAGTACCGTTATTGGTTGAAATTGATAAAAGCTTTGTTTTAAAATCTTCACCAAAAAATTGATATTGTTCATGTTGATATATTTGATTGTTGTTCTTCATCTCAAATACAGAGTAAAAACTCACACCTCACTGCAAAGAAATATAACATGTTAAAACATAGATGTTAATATCAGTACTTTTAGAAAGGTGTTGTTTTTTTGTTTTTTAGGCTTAGTACACCTCTGATGAGTCCAGCCCTTTTCAACTAATTTTAACTGTTTACTCGTATATTATGCTGTTGCATCCTCCTCTCAGTATAGGGGAGGGTCGAGACTTTACAAACATGCATAACCTGCAATATTTTTTATGTGCGTTTCCAAAGCCAGGAGCCGGTGGCTTCCTTTCAAAAAACTTTTTTGTTTTATGTTATTGGATCAAAAAAGTCGTTTGTTCTCTATTATGAATTATTTTCACTTAATATAGCTTACTGTGGGTTTGCTCATTGTTGAGGGCTTTACAATAACCTGTAATTGTTTACATTCTTGTCCTGGAGTTTTTAGGATAGTTTGTCTCATTGGAATTTATAACACTTTTTATCTTTATCTATTTTAAGCTTTAGGTATCCTGGAATTAATAATTTTATTTTTTAAAAGAACAATACTTGGCAAAAAAATATAGATATAAAGATAACAATATTTTATAATTATAGCATGAAAAATAGTCTATATCTAACACAGATGTTTAAAAATGACACAAATTTGACAACATTGAAATTGTTTTTTTTATAGATTAAGCAGAGTACAGTACTTAGATTTAAGTATGGCTTCCATTACAACTCCAATTCTACAAGAATTATTATCTGTATGCACCCATCTTAAGAAGCTCAGTTTAGAACATTGTCCGCTCAATGATGAAATTTGTCGGTAAGTAAAAATACATTTTAAAATTTTGTTGGACAAGATGTTTATCACAGATTTCTTTCTGTTGCATTGGAGGAACTTTTTTAAGACCCCAGCCATCATATAATTAGAATTTTTATTTTACTCATAATTTGTACAAAATTCTAAGGAAAATGCAACCACCCATATTTAATAAATTTGAGTGACTCCCATCCCCCACTCGATAAATTTTAGAAAAACCCTCGGCAAAAATATTTGTTTTGCAGAAGTAGCAGTTACCAATGAACTTGCTTAATTGAATGAACAGATGACATGCAACCAAGTTTTACTAATACAACAATTTAATGTTTTACAAACATCCTCTGAATAGAGTTTCTTTGTGATTTACTACAATGTACACATATTTGTCTATTCAGTGTAAAAAAGGTTTGGTCTGGCATTCAAATTGGAAAAGTGTTGCAAATATGGAGAAGTTCTTACCATTCTCTAGTGATTAGACTGTGGCTTAGGGTCCTAAATTACAAGTCAGTATGTATGTCTAAACCAAACATATTTTGTTTCTCAAGTCCAATAAATTGTCTACATATTTTAATTTGTAAACAGCACACTGTTTTTGTTTTAGTTATATAGCAGAGAACAAGAACCTAGAAGTTATCAACATGAGCATGTGTCAAGGAATCACTGTAAATGGTCTTATGCCTATATGTAACAACTGTACAAGGTAGGTTATCTCCCATGTAACAGCTGTACAAGGTAGGTTATCTCCAATTGTTCATGTTTTTACTGTCTCAACATGTAATACATGTATGAGGTGAAATAGAAAACTTTGTCATTACAAGACCATATGTAATGTTATAATGTTACTGTCGTTATACATAATAACTGTACAAGGGAGAGATATCTCTATTTGTCTACAACATGATCATGGTTATAAAGCATTTACAGTATTTCTGGTATTTTTGATGGGTTTTTACAACCATTGGGTCAATGTCACGGCCAGTAGATGGTCACTGAGGTATCACGAGCCCAGTAATCAGCACTTGTGTGCTAACATGAAATGTCATATTGTAAAGTTACTGTTTATAAAATGTTCAAATTATTCCACACTAAGGTTTTCTTCCCAAGGCAAGGATAGGCATACCAAATTTGGACAAGTTTTGGGAATTTTTGGTTTTCAATGCTACAAAACTTAATTGATTTTTGATATGTCAGGATAGTCTCTCTGTATTTACTGTACAAGTTGAGTAATCTCCCTTTGTCCACAACATATCTATAGATATACAGTATAACTGTCTCTTTATGTAATAATTGTTCAAGATGGATTTTTACCTTTGTCTAAAAAATGACTTTGACCGTTCTTTTATATTGCAAATCTCAAAGAATCAATGTTATCAAGGATATTACAGTCTATATGTACAAACGATATTACAGTCTATATGTACAAACGATATAACAGTCTATATGTACAAACTATATAACAGTCTATATGTAAAACTATAGTACAGTCTATATGTACAAACTATAGTACAGTCTATACGTACAAACTATATTACAGTCTATATGTACAAACTATATTACAGTCTATATATGTACAAAGTATAGTACAGTCTATATGTACAAACTATCGTACAGTCTATATGTACAAACTATATTACAGTCTATATATGTACAAACTATAGTACAGTCTATATGTACAAACTATAGTACAGTCTACATGTACAAACTATAGTACAGTCTATATATGTAAAAAGTATAGTACAGTCTATATGTACAAACTATAGTACAGTCTATATGTACAAACTATATTACAGTCTATATGTACAAACTATGTTACAGTCTATACGTACAAACTATATTACAGTCTATATGTACAAACTTTAGTACAGTCTATATGTACAAACTATATTACTCTATATATGTACAAACTATAGTACAGTCTATATGTACAAACTATATTGCAGTCTATATGTACAAACTATAGTACAGTCTATACGTACAAGTACAGTCTATATATGTACAAACTATAGTACAGTCTATATATGTACAAACTATAGTACAGTCTATATGTACAAACTATAGTACAGTCTATATTTACAAACTATAGTACAGTCTATACGTACAAGTACAGTCTATATATGTACAAACTATAGTACAGTCTATATATGTATAAACTATAGTACAGTCTATATATGTACAAACTATAGTACAGTCTATATGTACAAACTATAGTACAGTCTATATGTACAAACTATAGTACAGTCTATATGTACAAACTATAGTACAGTCTATATGTACAAACTATATTACAGTCTATACGTACAAGTACAGTCTATATATGTACAAACTATAGTACAGTCTATATATGTATAAACTATAGTACAGTCTATATATGTATAAACTATAGTACAGTCTATATATGTACAAACTATAGTACAGTCTATATGTACAAACTATTGTACAGTCTATATGTACAAACTATATTACTCTATATATGTACAAACTATTATACAGTCTATATGTACAAACTATATTACAGTCTATATGTACAAACTATAGTACAGTCTATATGTACAAACTATATTACTCTATATATGTACAAACTATAGTACAGTCTATATGTACAAACTATAGTACAGTCTATATGTACAAACTATATTACAGTCTATATGTACAAACTATAGGACAGTCTATATGTACAAACTATAGGACAGTCTATATGTACAAACTATAGTACAGTCTATATGTACATACTATAGTACAGTCTATACGTACAAACTATGTTACAGTCTATACGTACAAACTATAGGACAGTCTATATGTACAAACTATAGTACAGTCTATATGTACAAACTATAGTACAGTCTATATATGTACAAACTATAGTACAGTCTATATGTACATACTATAGTACAGTCTATACGTACAAACTATGTTACAGTCTATATATGTACAAACTATAGTACAGTCTATATATGTACAAACTATAGTACAGTCTATATGTACATACTATAGTACAGTCTATACGTACAAACTATGTTACAGTCTATATACGTACAAACTATAGTACAGTCTATATGTACAAACTATGTTACAGTCTATACGTACAAACTATAGTACAGTCTATACGTACAAACTATATTACAGTCTATATATGTACAAACTATGTTACAGTCTATACGTACAAACTATAGTACAGTCTATACGTACAAACTATGTTACAGTCTATACGTACAAACTATAGGACAGTCTATATGTACAAACTATAGTACAGTCTATATGTACAAACTATAGTACAGTCTATATATGTACAAACTATAGTACAGTCTATATGTACATACTATAGTACAGTCTATACGTACAAACTATGTTACAGTCTATACGTACAAACTATAGGACAGTCTATATGTACAAACTATAGTACAGTCTATATGTACAAACTATAGTACAGTCTATATATGTACAAACTATAGTACAGTCTATATGTACATACTATAGTACAGTCTATACGTACAAACTATGTTACAGTCTATATATGTACAAACTATAGTACAGTCTATATATGTACAAACTATAGTACAGTCTATATGTACATACTATAGTACAGTCTATACGTACAAACTATGTTACAGTCTATATACGTACAAACTATAGTACAGTCTATATGTACAAACTATGTTACAGTCTATACGTACAAACTATAGTACAGTCTATACGTACAAACTATATTACAGTCTATATATGTACAAACTATGTTACAGTCTATACGTACAAACTATAGTACAGTCTATACGTACAAACTATAGTACAGTCTATACGTACAAACTATGTTACAGTCTATACGTACAAACTATAGTACAGTCTATACATACAAACTATAGTACAGTCTATATATGTACAAACTATCGTACAGTCTATACGTACAAACTATAGTACAGTCTATACGTACAAACTATAGTACAGTCTATATGTACATACTATAGTACAGTCTATACGTACAAACTATGTTACAGTCTATATACGTACAAACTATAGTACAGTCTATATGTACAAACTATGTTACAGTCTATACGTACAAACTATAGTACAGTCTATACGTACAAACTATATTACAGTCTATATATGTACAAACTATGTTACAGTCTATACGTACAAACTATAGTACAGTCTATACGTACAAACTATAGTACAGTCTATACGTACAAACTATGTTACAGTCTATACGTACAAACTATATTACAGTCTATATATGTACAAACTATAGTACAGTCTATATGTACAAACTATATTACAGTCTATATATGTACAAACTATAGTACAGTCTATATGTACAAACTATAGTACAGTCTATATATGTACAAACTATGTTACAGTCTATACGTACAAACTATGTTACAGTCTATATATGTACAAACTATAGTACAGTCTATATATGTACAAACTATAGTACAGTCTATATGTACATACTATAGTACAGTCTATACGTACAAACTATGTTACAGTCTATATACGTACAAACTATAGTACAGTCTATATGTACAAACTATGTTACAGTCTATACGTACAAACTATAGTACAGTCTATACGTACAAACTATATTACAGTCTATATATGTACAAACTATGTTACAGTCTATACGTACAAACTATAGTACAGTCTATACGTACAAACTATAGTACAGTCTATATATGTACAAACTATAGTACAGTCTATATGTACATACTATAGTACAGTCTATACGTACAAACTATGTTACAGTCTATATATGTACAAACTATAGTACAGTCTATATATGTACAAACTATAGTACAGTCTATATGTACATACTATAGTACAGTCTATACGTACAAACTATGTTACAGTCTATATACGTACAAACTATAGTACAGTCTATATGTACAAACTATGTTACAGTCTATACGTACAAACTATAGTACAGTCTATACGTACAAACTATATTACAGTCTATATATGTACAAACTATGTTACAGTCTATACGTACAAACTATAGTACAGTCTATACGTACAAACTATAGTACAGTCTATACGTACAAACTATAGTACAGTCTATACGTACAAACTATAGTACAGTCTATACGTACAAACTATGTTACAGTCTATACGTACAAACTATATTACAGTCTATATATGTACAAACTATGTTACAGTCTATACGTACAAACTATGTTACAGTCTATATATGTACAAACTATAGTACAGTCTATATATGTACAAACTATAGTACAGTCTATATGTACATACTATAGTACAGTCTATACGTACAAACTATGTTACAGTCTATATACGTACAAACTATAGTACAGTCTATATGTACAAACTATGTTACAGTCTATACGTACAAACTATAGTACAGTCTATACGTACAAACTATATTACAGTCTATATATGTACAAACTATGTTACAGTCTATACGTACAAACTATAGTACAGTCTATACGTACAAACTATAGTACAGTCTATACGTACAAACTATAGTACAGTCTATATGTACAAACTATAGTACAGTCTATACGTACAAACTATAGTACAGTCTATACGTACAAACTATGTTACAGTCTATACGTACAAACTATATTACAGTCTATACGTACAAACTATAGTGCAGTCTATATGTACAAACTATATTACAGTCTATATATGTACAAACTATGTTACAGTCTATACGTACAAACTATAGTACAGTCTATACGTACAAACTATAGT